TTTTTTTATAAAACTTACCTACATTCAAGTGTTGATAAAAAAGAATGCTTGAAGCTAGAATAAAACTGATGTTTTTGTTTAAAAGTAGAGGCTCTGTTCTTTATTTTTGATGTATTGCATGTTCAGATAATCATAAAACAAAGTATTGTGGGGGTCATGAACTTTTAGTGAAAATCAGCAAAAATGCTGGCGGTGGCTGTCAACTTTTTCATAAACGCTGGCGGGGAAAGAGTTAAAATTGTGTTTTAAGAGATTTAGGGTGCTTTCGCACTAGCACTTTTGGTGCGCACCCGGGTTCGATTGACGTCAGAGTTCGGTACGTTTGGATGATGTGAACGCTGTCTTCCGAACTCGGGTGCGCACCCACGAACCGTACCCGAGTCCGCTTAAAAAGGGTGGTCTGGGGTACGGTTCAAGTGAACTCCGGTACGGTTCGCTGCTGATGTGAACGCAATCGTACCAAATCATGGAACTGAACCGCTATTAATGACGTATTATTTGATAAAAATGTGTGTTTGTGTGTGTTTCACTCACTTTCCTGACGTTTATTAGTCAACATGTATGTAAATTTTATTATTTATTTTATTGTATTATTTTATCTGACTTCAGTCCTAACAGGGCATCACCCTTTTTTTAATTACATTTCCTTAATTTGTTTTCACTTGTTTCCCGGCATATGACTAAATAGATTATAGGCAAACAGTGTATACTGAAAAGTAATTTGCTCATACTGTTTCTGTTCCTCCTATTAGTTTGTCCCTGGAGATAAGAATGGAGCTTGTATAAAAGTGGTGCGGCCCATCTCACCGGGGGAGGAGATTACCAGTTACTATGGGGACAGCTTTTTTGGAGAGAATAATGAAATGTGTGAATGTTGCACATGTGAGAGGTGAGAGAATATACGTTAATACTGCTTCAAGGCCAATCTGCTGTGGGTATTATAGTGATGCGGGATCTATAACGCACAATTATCTCAATGGATGCTTGTAATTGGTCTGAACTGTATTAGGGTTTAATGTCAATTAGGTTTCTAATGACAGAAATACATTTAAAAGCCTTTTAAATCTGCTTTTATCACAACTCTAATGATGCCAATCGATGCAGGAGAGGAGAGGGATCATTTAAGAAGAGAGACCAGTCACCAGATGTGGCTTGCTCTGGGGATCCTTCAGGACAGAAATATGAGTTCAGAGAGACCGACCTAAGGCTTAACAGGAATAGGGGAAATGGCACCCCAAAGCCATTTCTCACTGTATCAAACTCCGGTATGCTTATGCCATTCATATTTAGTTGTTTTCTTATTACTTGTGTCCTGGAAAAAAATTTATATGTTCTGAGTGTAAAATTACAAGGGTTATAATTAAGCATCCCATGCAATTTCCTAATAAAGTGGTAAAAAGCCTGTATTGGCATAAGTTCATTATGGCCAACCGCTTAACTCTGGATGTCTATTCTTCTTGTCTCATTCTCTTGTCAGCCTTGCCAATGAGGAATACATATTCCCAACGGACAAAGAGGAACGCCCTTGTTTTGAGCAAGATGAGAAAGACTGATAGGTGGAGGAGGAGGGAGGAGCATTGCAAACAGGTGGAAAAGAGGACACAAAACCTCTTATCATCTTTTCCTCACCTCAAGCTAAAGGAGCTGAGCATCAGCCTCTATCAGCACAGCACAAATTTCCTATTAAGCTGTAAGGACCCCTTGAGCAAAGAAAGGGCCCTGCTATACCTAATTGAGAAAGTGCGACCAAAACCAGAGAGGATCACAAAGAACAGCAAATCTGTCTCTCCACCTCTCAGTAGTGCCAACATAAATGGACCGGAGGAGAGGAAAGATGAGGATGGAGACATGTTAAATGGAGACCCCGTAATTAGATTTAAACCCTTTACTCTTGAATGTGTTTCCAGTGTACATGAAAGAGACAGCATGAAGGCCAAGGGAGGTAACATTGATGCATCATCTGTCAGAATTGTCCACCAGGGCATTTCCTCAAGGACCAGGAATATTCTTCGTAGTCGTCTGAGCAGTCTCCAGACAAGGAGGCGATCTAAACTCTCCAGATTCAACAAAAGGAGGACCAGACTGATCAAATCCAATCCTAAACTCTCTACAGGGCAAAATGAATGCTCTGACTCACAGACACGAGATGGGAAGCAGCAAAAAAGAAGCAAGGTCGTGTCTATGGACACTACTAACCCTGTTGTAATCTCTCCAGGTAAACCATGTAATGATAAACATGTACACGTTGATGGAGACGCTGGGACTGACAGTGACAAATCATCACAAACAGAGAGCATGGTGATCAGAGAGACGCAGCAGAGTGTCTTTAGGGATTGCCTCAGGGAAGTGGCTGGTGATGTTAGTGCTTGTGTAGCTTCAGAGACCTCAGGGGATAACAAGCAAAACCACAGGCAGACTGTCTCTTCTAGCGCTGTTAGCGATACACCCTCCTTGTCTTCACCATCTCTTAATAGTCCTGTCTCTTTCCACTCAGGGTTAAATCGTTACCTCAGAGTCAGTCTGGTCAGGGTGGCTATCCCAGGAAAGCCAGAGGATGAAAGTACAGGTCAGAGGGAGGCAGACAGTAGAAGAGACAAGGTTACGGCACCAGCAGCAGCGTCAGTACAGCAGAGCACAAAATTTAATGGGAGCAAAGACGGCAATAGACAAGGTAAGAAAGGGGTGAAGGAGTTGTATTTCACACCAGTAAATATGGAGAGTGCAGATAAGTACTTAAAAGTAACATGTGATTTAGAGACTGGCAAAAACACAGTCACACAACCTGTTGCAAAAGAACTTGTGGATGCGTACGGTAAGGATAGCCACAGTGAGCATGAAATTGAAGGCAAGCAAGATAATAAAGTTGTAACGGTCGCGTCTGTTGAAGTTACAATTCCCAAAAATTCAGAAGTTGCTGTAAAGAAACGGAAAAGAGCCGATAAGGATGAGAAACAAGCACATGTTGAACGCATACCTGAGGTGCAGGATAAAGAAAGCATGATCAAGAAGCAGGAAGAAGTAATAGTTGAAGAAAATCACTTGAAAAAGAAAGTGGTAACAGCACGTTTTGGTAGCAGGACTGTTGTTGTTAAAGAGGCAAGGGTACTGCTGAAGGATATTAGAAAGAATTTGAGTTGCAAGTTTAGTCAACAAGATAAGGACGCTAATGACCACCAACCTCCGTGCAGTTACAGTGGTAAAAGAGAAGCTGATAATATAAAGACACTATCACTTACTGACAATAAAGAGACAAAGGACAAGCATGAAGCACTTAATAACGGGAATGAGAACCCTAATAAAGGACTCACGGCAGCTGATCATCCAAATATACATGAAGATACTCAAGTGAAACAGTCAGAAAACACTTTGATTTCCTCAGAACCTCTATCCATGTGCAAGGTTTCTCTGGATCACAGTCCCCAGAGCAGCATTCCCTTAAAGAAACGAGCATTTCGAGAATCGCTTGATACAGACCCAGAACAGGATATTAATGTTCCTGCAACGCCATGTACTGATGTCAGTAAAGGCAAAGAACTCAATTCGGACAATCTGTTACCTAAGCCAAGCGAAAGCAGCAGTGTGGATACAACATTGTTGAAACATTCAGAATCAAGTTTAACTCTCAAAGCCAATGTTGGGTCCAAAAAGCGTGGCTCATCCAAGTTGATAAAGACTTCGTCTAAACAATACTGTAAAGCTCTTCAGAGTGCTCATCGTGGACCAGGGAGAAGCAATGTCAGAGTTCCTGAATGCAGAGATGGCACAAGTAATGTACATGTTTGTGAGAGGACAATCAATGACCCTAAGCATGAAACATCTAAAATGACAGAAGCAGACAATTGCAACATGGGAGAGGAGAACCAAGCGAAAAGTGACAAAAGAGTAGAAGGAAGAAAGAAAGGACCAGGGGACTGTGAGATTACAGATAATATTGAGCATGCCGTCAGTGATGAGTTGTCTACCTCAAATGTTTCGGATAACACGGAAGAAGAGCAGAAGCTTATCCGCAGAATCCGCCTTAAGAGGAAGAGGGGAAAGGAGTGGGCAATGGAGTGTACGGATGAGGCAAAAAGTGTTGCGGACAAGTCAAGCCCACAGCAATGCTTGGCTTTAGTTGACCCTTTTAGGGCCATTTTGGATTCTGTCTCAATTTTAAATGCAGAAATGGAGAGAATTCGGGGTCATGGGGAGGCCGATAACGGCGTAGGTTTGGAGAAAGCCACCAAAGCAGTTCAAGACGTGCTGGAACATTGCAGAAAAGAATGTGCAGCTAAGCCATGTAAAAGACAACAAAAACTATCGGCTGTTTGCATTAACAAGAAGAACGTTAGTACACCAAAAGAAATTGTTCAAGACAGTAGTGATGTTACCGACAAGCAAATACAACAAAAATCATCTGACCCAAAAATTGAGGCAGACGTTGATGACATTAAACCGTTGCCTCTGATTAGATTGTGCAGGAGAGCTGAAGGCAAGTGGGAGGTGGAGTGGAAAGAAGCTCACAGTGAAGATGGGAGCACTGATACTGTGCACGGGGAGCCAGAGAAATTAACATCTGTCTTCTCTACAGCAGCAATAGTGGAGCAGATGCCTCTCGGCAATGTTAAAGACGAAAACCCGTCTCAGTGCCAGCAACTAATGGCGGGGCGTAGTTGTACCAAGGGGACAGAGACCTTCAGAGATCCACTGAGTTTTGAGACTTCACCCTTACCATTATCCCTTTCACCTTTGTCACTTTACTCTCCCTGTTATGATGGGCTGGCAGGAGTTAGTAATGTCAGTGGGAGTATTCAAGCAAAAGAGAATGTAAGAGAGCAGGTGTCAGACAATTTCGATAGTCTCAAGCCTGGAGTTAGTAGAAGTGACAATAAAGAAAGCAATGACATTTGCTTGAGTCACAATTTGTTACAGATTAATAAAAGTCTGTCAAAACTCCAGGCTCTGAGCCAGTCACAGGTATGCGAGAAAAGTGTGCCCACTAATACCAGTGTAACCGCCTCTCAGATTCAGTCTCCTCCCATTTCTCCCTTTTCCACCGATTGTGGCTTTAGTAACTATTCTGAAGATGTGCTGGAGTTTCCATGTTTAAATCTCGAAAGCTACGATCAGATGCCTGCACAAAACAACTTGGCAGGCTCTTTAATAGATTACTATCCTGGTGAACCACATAACACCGGGTCCTTCAGCAGCCCCTTTTCCCAAAGTCCCACTGATGCATGGGATCCGGAGACCCCTTACCTAGGATCCCCAAGCCCAGTGAGTAACTTCAGTAGTGATGAGGAGCTAAGTTTCCCGGATATTGTCTTTGCTCAGTCTGACACATCCTCATCTATTGGTGCATCACAACTCAGTCTCTTCAAAGATAAGCTCTGTAATACAGCCACGAGTTCTGCTCCTCTTCAAGACCCCGAGAAAGATCTGTACTTGTCTGATGGCGAGTTGTCAAAAACTCCCATAGAGCTCCAGGTCCAGGAAGTTTCAGCAACACAGTTTCTCCCCAAAGACTTGACAATGTTTAACAATGCATCTACAAGTGCTAAACAGCCTGGGCACCCAAATTCACGCCTGCATCCTCAGGATAAAAAGTTAAACTTTCTTGATTCCATTGTGAACTTGAAGTCCTCAGAGTCAGGCCTTGCTAAAATTGACGTTAAAGACTATGGACCTCTCAACCTGCATAGCTCAAAGGCTAAATACGAATCTGTCTTTCCAAACCAGTCAACACAAAGTCTACATGGTGCTGGACCTCAGAGTAACCTTGTTACACCCTTCCATGCTGATTATCCAGGTGCATTCAGCTCTGGTAATGCACTTTTTCGTAGCAATGACAAGAAGCTTCCTTTTTTTTCAAACCCCAAGAATGTCTTGAAAAACGAGGAAGGCCAGAATGCTTGTCGAGTTTCTGTGGCTGCAGGCAGCTCAAAATCTCACAACAACCTGGAAAGCGTCTATGCTTGTCCAGGTCCATCAAGCTCTCACAGTGGAAAAGAGTCTTCTGCTAGATGTCCTAATGCTGGGTTCTCAAGATTGGCTGAAAATCTGCAAAAAAAACCAAAGAATGTCCCTTCCAAACAGTACCCTGCTAATCCCGGTCCGCAAGGTGATCGCATTCACCCTGTTTACTTTATCAGCTCTAGCAAAACCACAACAAACTTTTTCAAGAACAATGCAGGCCTAAAGTCCCAGATCTCAAGAAATGATAAAGATCCATCTCTGTCCTCCGCGTTTTTATTTCCCTCATCTCAAGGTTCTCAATCTTACAGTACATCACAAAGCAAACTCTCAAAATTGGAAAAACCCCATGCTGTTGTGGCTCCCACTCAAAACACTCAACTTTCTGGAGTGTCTTCTATCCAGCCCAATAAGAATCAGATGTGTTCAAACATTTCTCACTGTGATTCTTCCGATTTCAACTTCAGCTCCTCTCTTTCACCTCCTGCGTCGCAGCACAGCAGTCCTCATCTGGGATACAGAGAATCCTCAATCCATGGGGTCCCTTTGATTAAAACTCAGTCAACTACCTTTGAACACAGTCAAACTCCTCACCAGTCTTATGTAGTGAACTTCACCGGAGATCATTCTCTGACCCTGGGCTACAGTGAGGATGGTGAAAGCTTGAATTATTCTGGTTCAGGACCTGCAAATTACACTTATCATTGTCTTATGGAGCCTTCGGGAACTCAAGGAAGGCTGGTTGTAGAAGCGTGTGGTCCCTCAAACTTCTCACCTCCTCCCTCTGTGAGTAGGTTTGCAGGGTCTAAAGTCCACGCAGGCCAAAACAGTAAGGATCAGCAGCATCAGGGGACAGGAACTCACCCATGTAATTCTCTACACTTCTCCACCTCCCACTCGCAAAGCACCCCCATAACGGAACGCAAGCCTAAGAGACTTAGGCTTGTGGTGACTGACGGTACAGTGGATCTGGACCTACAATATACTGATTAATAACGACCATTTGTCATTGATATGCTGAGACTTTATTTATTTCAAACAACTTCAATGTAATAAGATGTTCTTTTTGTTTTCATTAAACTTGTATTATGTAAAATGTCCTGTTCTTAGCATCGAAACAGATTTTCTTGAAATATTTAAAGACATATTTTTATTAGCACACTTGCTCAGTTATTTGTATGCTACATGATGAATTTTCTTTAGTACCTTATTATAGAAGATAATATTTTCATGCTAGTGGTTCTGTATTAAAACAGAGAAAAATAGATATTCTGTTCGTCCTGTAGTACATTAGACTTGCCACATGGTGGGGATGTTCTCCACAATGTGAAAATTCTCTGTTTCCTCCTAGCCTTTTCAGTTCGGAGTTAGCAGTCTAGATTGCAGAACATGTGACCGATCATATGTGAGAAAAAGAAGTGTGGCTGGCAACTTGCACAGTTCAGTGGGTTAGCACATGAAGGACCAGAGCAGGGAGCGTGTGCTTTTAATTTAGGGTTGTTTGAAAGCCCATTTGTCAAGTTAAATGAGAGTGTGCACCACTGACTGCACAAATATTTGTGAGACATATGACAAACACATACTTTGAGCAGCTCTCAGGTGTCCTGTATTTGGTTTAGGGGATTCCTGCATGTCATTAAAGGACTGCAGCAGCTGCTACATTAAATGCATATTTCAATCACGGCAATTTCAGCATCTTTATCATCTGTGGTGTCATTTATTTGAATAGACTCCCATCTTTTCCACACAAATCAAACACACTTTGCAAGCACAAATGTGTTTTGGCATTGGATGCCCTTTTTAACACCAAACATTTGTCTATATCAGCTTCATGGGGTTTTGTATCATATTGGGCATTGCTTTGGTACATTGGGCCAATGCATAATTACTTAGTTACCACTTGTATTACTCTAGAGAGATGTTTAGTGCCCTTTGGAGCTGATCCTTGATCAGACTCACTTAACACTTACAGAATATTGTTACGATAATGTACTGTAGTCCTACAGGCCACCAAGACCCAAAAGCTGACATCATCTCCAACCGTATATATTGTGTTGGGTTTTTAGTTTTTACTTCCCCAGTACATGTCAGATATGAAATGCGTTTGTTGGTTTCTTCTCAGTTTTAATAGTTACAGACATGAGAGAGCCCTGGGCTGTCCTACATGTTTATAACGTAGTTTGTGTTAAGCCTTGGTCTATGAAAAGCCAGTGTATTATATTTATTTAAATATGTTCTTAAAGGGATAGTTCACCCAAAAATGAAAATTCTGTCATTATTTACTCACCCTCATGTCTTTTCAAACCCATAAGACCTTCGTTCATCTTCGGAACACAAATTAAGATATTTTTGATGGAATCTGAGAGCTGTCTGACCCTGCATAGACAGCAATACAACTGAAATGAGATCTGTAAAATAATCCTTGTGACATCAAGGGTTCAACCGTAATTTTATGAAGATACGAGAATAATCTGTTTCCTACGTTGTTGTGATTTAATCTGAACGAAAACAGCGTATTCGTGTGACGCAGCTGACACAGAACAGCATACGCTGTTTACGTCCAGCGGATATTCTCCTAAATGGCGTTAAAGGGTGACGCGGAGGAGACGAATTGTTGAATAAAGTGTTTTTTTTTTTTTTCTTTTGCACACAAAAAGTATTCTCGTAGCTTCGTATATTGCTGTCTATGCAGAGTCAGACAGCTCTCAGATTCCATCAAAAATATCTTAATTTGTGTTCCGAAGATGAACGAAGGTCTTACGGGTTTGAAACGACATGAGGGTGAGTAATTAATGACAGAATTTTAATTTTTGGGTGAACTAACCCTTTAACATGGTGCTTCAATATAACTGAATTTTTTGATTGTACTGAACTTAATGTATATTACCGTTTTTTAATATCTACAATTCAGATGTCTTTTTTCCGGTATGTCTTGTATGGCCATCCTGTTTGTTACTTAGGACATTTGAGATAAATTTTAAATTGTAATGTTCAACTGTAAAATTGTAAAAAAAAAAAAAAAAAAATGAAATTAATGCAATTAAAATGAAACGATTTTAAATGAAACTGTTCATGGTATTTTATTTTATCTATCTATCTATCTATCTATCTATCTCAAAATGAATGTTTCTTTTGAAAAGGGCAATTCTCTCATTAATTCTTATTGATTTATTATTATTATATTGATTAGGCCTTGTATGGTTTTATTAGGAGATTAATCTGACTGAAGAGTCTATATATTTCCTTTTTCAACTCTGCTGATAAAGCCATTTAAGTTTCATCAGTGTTCTCAAAGAGTGCTACCAGTAGGTATTCAAGGTTACAGGTCTTTTCTGCAGTGTCTGAATTGGCCTATTTGCTGCAAAGACTATATAAATGACTAGCCATAGGAGAGAGAAGGGAACATTAAAATAATCTGTATATCATCTACTCGCAAACACATACAAATGCATAAGCATTTGACGTGTTCCACCCACAATGCATCTTTATCGTAAGCACTGTCTTTTATCAATCACTGCAGCTCATTCAGATTTAACCCGTCACTAAGCTTTTTTTTTTGTTTCCTCACTTCTTTTCATCTTATTCTGGTTGTTTGCACTGTCTTGCATGCATATTTAAAATGTGCACTTTATTTTTCTGCTTTCCTAATATCTTACAGCTAATCTTTTGATGTTTTTTCCTCCTCTTCTTTTTGTTTTAGCCATCTTTTTCCGAACTATTTATCTGTCTACATTCCTTGTTTGTTCATTCATTTTTATTCATGCCATATTTTCACCCAGCTGCCTCTGTTACAGTACTTCTGGTTCTTCCTCATCCCTCAATCCTTCTTTCAACCCTTTGTCCACTTCCTTTTTGTTTCTTATCGCCTGTTCATCCCCTTTCCCCATTCTTGACCCATTTTCTCTTCTCTCAACAGTGAGCAGAGGGTTAACTCTGAAACCAAGTGGAACAGCTTTTTTCATAACGAGGACACAGGCAGCAAAGCAGTGGATATTGAGGCGGTGAAAGGCTGAACCTTCGAGGCACTGCGGAAAACACTGTAGGACCGAAAAACCTTGCTGTATCACCATGACTTCCTTTGCACAGATGTAACAATTCGTAAACCCGGGCTCCAGTTTACTGCAAAAGCAGGTGACGAAAGACCTCAACATTCAATTCTTGCTGTTGACTCAGATCTGGTGACCCAAGGTTTTGCTTCTTTTGAAGACACTGCCTTGCTCACTGGCAAATGTTACAGGCGGGTTTGTGCCACAAAAGAGATGTACAGTAGCATCCTCCATTTTATCCAGCTTCAGTGTGAGACAGGCGCTAGCCCACTTGATTCATCTGTGCTTTCGTCTCTTTTTGAATTATTCAATAATCCTTTCCTACACCCAACCATCCTTTCTCCCTCCCTCCCTCCCACCTTCCTGTACACGTAATGTTACTTAACATTTACAGTTTAAAATGGCTAAATTAACCTTTCCATCTGTTCCCTGATGGTAACTCCAACCATATCTCTCCATCCCCGTTTTATGCTCGTTCTATCAGATGAAAATGAAATCTTTAAAACTGAGCCATTAAAAGATGTTCCTTGGTAATTGGTACGCGATTATATTTTGAAATGAATCAATTATTAAAATCGTATTCTTTTATTTAAGAGGTCCGATCATTTAAGTATTTTCTGCCAGAAGGCTTTATTCAGTGTCCTTTTCCCTCTCTGTTTTTTTGTCTAATTTTAAGTTCGCAGTGCTACAGTTCAACATTCAGTTTCAACAAGCTCTCCAGAATAGTATGTGATGTTTCTAACTCTGAAGTGTAAATGTACTAAAAGTTATAACATCATCTCTAAATGAAGAACCAGTGACCTCCCTTAGAGAGCCGTGTATATGGCGCTATTTAGCAGCCTGAAAGCTTGTTGTCATATCCACAGAGGGTGGAAATGGATGGATAATAGATTAGGACAGTGGAAAGGAGGAGGCACTTTCACCCCTTTAGATTTGAAACAGGCAAAGCGGACAAACTGCCATACAGTATTCGTGTTTGTAGAGATTGAAATCGATCCAGAAGTGAATGATGAATTCTTTCCTTAACTGGACGTTCAAGTTCCACAATGTCTCAGTGCTAATTTAGCAGACAATTGTATATTGAATTACTTGCCCTATGACATTAAGCTATTTGTAAGCTGTCTCAATCAGTGTCTTTTTGCCAGTGGTTTTGAGCGTGTCTGCTGGAGATAGAATGATCAAACAGAGTTAGCGTTAATGTAATATGTAAACACAATTATATTAACCAAAGCCTTTTTGGATTGGTTTGGAAGTGATTTAAGTGTTTGGATGTGACAGACTAAGATGTTCGAGTCAGGTACATCTGGTGTAAAACAGCTATACTTAATTCTCAGAAACAGTTGTGTGATGAAGGAAAAGAGAGACAAGGAATAGCTATGAATCTCAAAGAGGAAGATGGGTTGAAGGAATTTTTGCTAGTAGCGACTTAATGGATGAGTAAGGAAAGATGTATGAAGGAGTTTCAGAGACACAGCACCTAGTGCTATAAAGCAAAGTAAATGGTAGAAGTGATGAAAGCTTGATAACGACAGTGGATGAAAATAGTGAGGGATGGAAGCGAGGAATTTGTAGATGGAAGTTAAAAGCCAGACTGATTTAATGTTGAAGGAAGAAAATATTTGCCCAAGTAGCAGGAGACATAAAAAGAAGTGATGGAGCCATAAAGGCAAGACTTTGCAGTGGAGAAATGTTTTTGTTGCGACAATAGCAGGTGCAGAAATGACTATCATATGTTCACTATTGCACTACTGTACCACAAAAATCTTAGAGCAGCATTGTCACTGATTATTGTTAAGTTATTGGTCTGGTTTGATTTGTTGTGAATTGTCACCAGATTTTTTTTTTTTTTTTAATTGCTGCACAGTTATGCAAACTGATACACAGTCCATTTCAGACAACTTTATAGTCTGTCTTGTCTCACACATTGATTTTCAGTCATGCGTGGATTCATGATGGTCTCGCATTAGGGTGCATCAGAAAATCCAAAATGTAGAAATGTTTTGGCCTCATATCTAATGCATGCCATATCAAGTAATAAACATTATGGTCAAATTTCATATTTTAAATTGTATATTTACCAGGACAACCTCACCCGAAAAATCAAGTACAAGTACGAAAAATTGTACAAGTACGTACAATTATGAAGCTTAGCATTTGCAATTCAATATTTATGAGTTTCAACAAAACTTTTAGCATCATTGTGCTCTAGCAACATTAACAAACCTATAATACAGTTAAAAGTATATCACTTATTACATTCTTTGACAGTAAAACATCAAAAATCATTGTCATTTCATACTGTACAACAGTGAAAATGACATGTAGCAGAGTATGATAACCCATATTCTGAATTTGTGCTCTGCATTTAACCCATCCAAGTGCACACACACACACACACACACACACACAGCACTGAGTAGTGTATTCAGCTGATGTACCAAATAATGTATGTATTCAGAGACCCTTTCCTTTGAAATCTGTTCACAAGTGGTCACAAAAGATTTGAGATGTTGCGACCAGGGTCACTTATTGATTCTGCTACATTGTCGTGTGTAGGGGTCTGTTAAATAGCAAGCGAGATAAAGGTAAAGGTATGAAAGCTGTCACTGGGCCGGTACCTTTTCAAAAGGTACACCTTTGTACCTAAAGGGTCCATATTGGTACCTAAAAGATACAAATGTGTACTCTGCCTCAGTGACATCTTTTGTACCCTTTTTCCTGAGCGAGTACTTATTTTGGCAAAGGCCCCTGTAGTATTATTTCCCCACCACTTTTTACTTCTGTCTTTGCTGTTTCCTACCTCTCTACATTCCTCTGTCCTAATAAGCACTCACTGAACCTTTCAATCCCATCTATAATATCTATAATTAATTACATTTATAACCCCTCTTACTTTATTGCCCCTCCATTTTTCTCCCTCTTTCCTTCCCCAAGCTAATAAGTGGTTCACTCCTCCTCTTGCAGACCTCAATTCATGTTTTAACACAGTTGGCCTTTGCTGCAGAGCCGCATCTAAAGGAGTGCTCGCTCATGAAACCGCTATTACCGCGTCTTCCTCAGTAGTCTTCGCCCCATGCTGCGAATTGCTTTCTTTTGTTTCCTTGTAATGAATTTAGCCTGAGTTCACTTTATTGCTTTGTGCAGAATGTGTAGCCTGATGAATTTTTCATTTCATCTCTCTCCTTCTCTCATGCCATCCTCAGAAACCGCCATAGTCTAAGACATCTCCTCCTCGTCCTCAGCCAAAAGTCCAGAACTCCTCACAACATCAAAGAAAGCCGGAGAGAAGGAGAGCGGGAAGGAGGGGTTTGCCTTGTATCTGGGTTCTGATGGAGAAGACGGTGGAGGAGAGGGGGAGGGGCAAAAGCGATTGACAGAGATAGAAGAGAGAGAGAGAGAGAGAGAGAGAGAGAGAAAGGCAGGTATGGAGGGAGGGAAACAAGAGGATGAGAGAGGAACGAAGCCAACCAACCAGCTGAAAGAGAACGAGCGATCGGGGCTGTTTGAACGTGGCAGGGAGAAAAGGAGGGAGGAGGGAAAGAGAGAGTGTGAGATCGTTTGTCAGAACCGAGGAAATAGAAGTGTTACTATTGCACAGCAACTGGAACGGTGTCTGCCCGCTGAGGATATGCATTGGCTCCCAGCGCTCACCGGCTCGCAGGACACGCTCTAAAATGTAATTTCCAAAGGCCTAATTGTTGCCGCAGTGATTTATTTTCCTCCATTTCATTTTTCTTTCTTTTTTTTTTGTTTTATCTGCCTTCTCTCTCTCCTCTCCTTCTCTTTTTGTCGTTGTTGTATTTTTCCCCCCCGTTTTTTTTTTTTTTACCAGTGGTCAAATTTCATATTTTAAATTGTATATTTACCAGGACAACCTCACCCGAAAAATCAAGTACAAGTACGAAAAATTGTACAAGTACGTACAATTATGAAGCTTAGCATTTGCAATTCAATATTTATGAGTTTCAACAAAACTTTTAGCATCATTGTGCTCTAGCAACATTAACAAACCTATAATACAGTTAAAAGTATATCACTTATTACATTCTTTGACAGTAAAACATCAAAAATCATTGTCATTTCATACTGTACAACAGTGAAAATGACATGTAGCAGAGTATGATAACCCATATTCTGAATTTGTGCTCTGCATTTAACCCATCCAAGTGCACACACACACACACACACACACACACAGCACTGAGTAGTGAGTGTGGGTATGTGGAACTGGTAGACATTCATTTATATATATATATATATATTGCACATTTGCTGTGTGACTTGAGTGGAACGACTTTATGCTAGGGCCAAAGTGAAACTCTTACATTAGATTTTTTGATGCATCGTATCTCACATGCTATAAATTAGATCTCTAATGCACACATAATCATATACCTTCACACATGTGACAAGACAAACTCCATACTGATTTAACTGAACACAAGCTGAACATGGTGCCAGACAGTCACACGGACATGTAAACCTGGTATTGACGTCAGGATTAGACAAAACTCATAACTAAAAAATTGGCCCCCTTTCAACTGATGAGTTGGACTTTGAGTTGAATTAACTTGAATTAACGGAACTGAATTGCCATGAAGCTGAATTTCAATTCAGAGAAATTCATGACCGACTGGAAAATTAAACGTTCTTCCACCCTAATCTATCTGTAGAATTTTTAAAACCTTTGATTTCTTTTTCTTGTTTCATTGTTTTTGAGGTTATAATAAATTAATTAATAACATTTATGTAATTTATTTTAATTTATTTCTCTTTAATAGAAGAGCACCAGCACCTTTTTTTAAGTAGCCCCTCTATATTAAGATTTTTTATGTAAAAAATCTATATGTAAAATTAAATACTGAAAAAAAAGTAAAAAAAATAAAATTATATATATATATATATATGTATATATACAGTGGGTACGGAAAGTATTCAGACCCCCTTAAATTTTTCACGCTGTGGGGGTGTTTTTCAGCTGCAGGGACAGGACGACTGGTTGCATTCGAGGGAAAGATGAATGCGGCCAAGTACAGGGATATCCTGGATGAAAACCTTCTCCAGAGTGCTCAGGACCTCATACTGGGCCGAAGGTTTACCTTCCAACAAGAGAATGACCCTAAGCACACAGCTAAAATAACGAAGGAGTGGCTTCACAACGACTCTGTGACTGTTCTTGAATGGCCCAGCCAGAGCCCTGACTTAAACCCAGTTGAGCATCTCTGGAGAGACCTAAAAATGGCTGTCCACCAACGTTTACCATCCAACCTGACAGAACTGGAGAGGATCTGCAAGGAGGAATGGCAGAGGATCGCCAAATCCAGGTGTGAAAAACTTGTTGCATCAAAAAGACTCATGGCTGTATTAGATCAAAAGGGTGCTTCTACTAAATACTGAGCAAAGGGTCTGAATACTTAGGACCGTGTGATATTTCAGTTTTTCTTTTTTAATTAATCTGCAAAAATGTCAACAATTCTGTGTTTTTCTGTCAATATGGGGTGCTGTGTGTACATTAATGAGGAAAAAAAATTAACTTAAATGATTTTAGCAAATGGCTGCAATATAACAAAGAGTGAAAAATTTAAGGGGGTCTGAATACTTTCCGTACCCACTGTATATATATATATATATATATTATCAACATGCAGTGCACTTAGTATGTATTCAGCTGATGTACCAAATAATGTATGTATTCAGAGACCCTTTCCTTTGAAATCTGTTCACAAGTGGTCACAAAAGATTTGAGATGTTGCGACCAGGGTCACTTATTGATTCTGCTACATTGTCGTGTGTAGGGGTCTGTTAAATAGCAAGCGAGATAAAGGTAAAGGTATGAAAGCTGTCACTGGGCCGGTACCTTTTCAAAAGGTACACCTTTGTACCTAAAGGGTCCATATTGGTACCTAAAAGATACAAATGTGTACTCTGCCTCAGTGACATCTTTTGTACCCTTTTTCCTGAGCGAGTACTTATTTTGGCAAAGGCCCCTGTAGTATTATTTCCCCACCACTTTTGACTTCTGTCTTTGCTGTTTCCTACCTCTCTACATTCCTCTGTCCTAATAAGCACTCACTGAACCTTTCAATCCCATCTATAATATCTATAATTAATTACATTTATAACCCCTCTTACTTTATTGCCCCTCCATTTTTCTCCCTCTTTCCTTCCCCAAGCTAATAAGTGGTTCACTCCTCCTCTTGCAGACCTCAATTCATGTTTTAACACAGTTGGCCTTTGCTGCAGAGCCGCATCTAAAGGAGTGCTCGCTCATGAAACCGCTATTACCGCGTCTTCCTCAGTAGTCTTCGCCCCATGCTGCGAATTGCTTTCTTTTGTTTCCTTGTAATGAATTTAGCCTGAGTTCACTTTATTGCTTTGTGCAGAATGTGTAGCCTGATGAATTTTTCATTTCATCTCTCTCCTTCTCTCATGCCATCCTCAGAAACCGCCATAGTCTAAGACATCTCCTCCTCGTCCTCAGCCAAAAGTCCAGAACTCCTCACAACATCAAAGAAAGCCGGAGAGAAGGAGAGCGGGAAGGAGGGGTTTGCCTTGTATCTGGGTTCTGATGGAGAAGACGGTGGAGGAGAGGGGGAGGGGCAAAAGCGATTGACAGAGATAGAAGAGAGAGAGAGAGAGAGAGAGAGAGAGAGAAAGGCAGGTATGGAGGGAGGGAAACAAGAGGATGAGAGAGGAACGAAGCCAACCAACCAGCTGAAAGAGAACGAGCGATCGGGGCTGTTTGAACGTGGCAGGGAGAAAAGGAGGGAGGAGGGAAAGAGAGAGTGTGAGATCGTTTGTCAGAACCGAGGAAATAGAAGTGTTACTATTGCACAGCAACTGGAACGGTGTCTGCCCGCTGAGGATATGCATTGGCTCCCAGCGCTCACCGGCTCGCAGGACACGCTCTAAAATGTAATTTCCAAAGGCCTAATTGTTGCCGCAGTGATTTATTTTCCTCCATTTCATTTTTCTTTCTTTTTTTTTTGTTTTATCTGCCTTCTCTCTCTCCTCTCCTTCTCTTTTTGTCGTTGTTGTATTTTTCCCCCCCGTTTTTTTTTTTTTTTACCAGCTGCTGGATTTTCCCCTTCTTTTATAACTGCTGTCATTCTCTCCATTTACAAAGGAGGGATCTACAAATAGAGGCAACCACAGCAAGACAGTAAGTGGGGCTTCTTTCTCCTTACGCCTGTGCCAGGGGGGTGCATGGAATGGGAGGCTGTGAAAATGTGCGGAGGATGAGCGATGAATGGATCCCGAAAGGGCTTATGAGTGTAGACGCTGGCTGGTGGTTTGCCATTTAAAGTTGAGCCATTCAGATCTGGAAATATGAGCTATTGGGAAACAGAGGCGACCCGTGCATGCGCTGTGTCTGTTGTACAGAGTGAATGATGTGAGGTGATCAGACTGGGCTGGTGGTGCTTGTTATCTGTAGTTTGGCTGCAGCAGCTTGAGAATCTGATCTTCCTTTAAAGAGACAGAGGTTCGCTTAAAACAGGAGGTGCACAGAAAGAATAGGTGAATACTGCATCAGCAGGGAGTAAGTTTTTCTGGATATATATTTGGCATTGCTGTGAGAGAAAGAGCTTGGCACAGAAAGATCATCATAATGACAAGTAAATGATACAAATCAGCAGAGTGTAATGTTTTTTTCTCCTCTGTATTTTAAAGGGAGAAGCCTGATATGCAGTATCCTGTCACTCCCTGAAACACACCCACCCACATACATTGGCATGCATGCAGACTTACTCACCGAGCAGTGCTAACGGACTGATCTGCAAGCGTGGCAGCTCTCTCGTATGATTGCATCACTTAAATGCCACATCAGTTTTCTTTCCAGTTCACTGCCTTTTGTCTTTCTTTCTCGTAAGCATATGCAGTGAATGACAGAATTGGCTGTTAAAGGGATAGTTCACCCAAAATGAAAATTCTGTCATCAGTTATTCACTCTCATGTCATTTCAAATTTTTATGACTGTCTTTATTCTGTGGAGCACAAAGGGTGGAATATTGAATATTATACCGGTCACTCTTCCTATGCAATTACAGTGAACTGAAGATTCAAAAAGCACCATTGAATGTGGTCCATACGACTAGTGCACTCTATTCCAAGTCTTATGAGCCCATGCAAAAGCTTTGTTAGTACAGACCAAAATATAGGTTATTATTTAATGATAATCTTTGTGCACAAATGTTTTGTGAAGCGCATCAACCGATTCATTAAAAAAGATCTGACTTGATGTGATCGCGAATCCACAAACACGCCAAGGAGAGCTAGAGCAAATGTCAGTATTTTTAGTGAATAACAGCTTAAATTCTTTTATCTTTTTGTCACACAGATCTATTGTATAACGTCAGATGATGCAGAATATTGCACCTCTGACAGTCATATGGACCCCTTTTATGATGTTTTTGTGTTCTTTTTAAAGCTTAAAAGCTTCAGTATCCATTAAGTATATTTCTATGTGGAACTGAACATAGAAACATAGTCTTAAAAATTTCTCCTTTTGCTTTCCATAGAAGCAAGTCGTACCCAAACAGATAAACAAAAAACTGATTTTTTATTATTATTATATTACGTTTTTCTAGTACATGCCATTTATCCCAGATTAATATTTATTATAAAAAGTTGTGAATATAAGTAGGCTAGGTACTTTTCAGGTGATTTCCATAATCACACTATTCGCTACAGATTCTTCTCCGCCCACAGACACACTGCTGCTCAGACAGCCCACTGAATGCTCCTTAACTAGACAGCCAACTCCTCACCTCACAGGCTAGAAGTGGCACACAAGTGAACCGACAAGCAAACATTCTCTCCTCTGCACGGATGTGAAGAGATCTTGAGTCTGCATGTGCTGCTTCACAGGGAGCGTGTGTTGATTTGGTTTGGGACTGTCCCCTGCCATTATCTGCTGAATCTATTATTAGCCTTTGTTTTTCGCGTATATCCTCCTCTGATACATTGTCTGTGCTCAGAAGAGGGAAATTCTTTGCTGCGGTCACCCATAATTACATGATATATGTATTTCTAGCCAGTTATTGAGAGGGAGAGAGAGACAACATGGGGGAGGGAAAAATAAACAATGAAGCCAAAGAGAAATTAAGATCTGTGGATAATTACCTCTACCAGCTGTTAAAAATGAAGACAATATTTGGAAATTTGCTAAATAAATTAATATTTCCCAGTAAAATAATAAAATTTTCTTAAAACTAATAAGACTTGTTTTCAGAGGATGTGTTTACTTGTTTTTACTAAATCACTACATTTAGTTATTATGCTTAAAACTCAAAATAACAATTTTCCAATAACAAGCAAACTGATTAAGAAAAACATTTTTTGCAGTAGAAAAAAATGGAGGGAAAAATATATAGAGTCTAGACTAGACTAGAAGGGACTTTATTTCTTCACAAACAAAATGTTGTTACATTTATACATAAAAAAAAAATAAGATAAAATAAAAAAAAAATATTTGCCAATAATAGGATAAGAGAACCAAAAACTTCCAAATATGCTTTCCTGGCACAGATATTAGGGCAGAATGGTGTTGCCAACATTGCATGTAATTTCTTCCTCAGTCACACGCTGTCACAACTGTCACCCGCTCTCTTTTCTCACACTCTCTCTGTCTTCCCTTTAAACACACACATACACACAGAGTCTTTCCGGTGTAGTGTGAGTTGTTCGCTTCAGGGGGATATGAGATAGGATGACAGAGTGGATAATCAGACAGAGGCACACAAAGTGAGTTAAGAATTAGCCACATTGAACGGGACATTGATAAATTGGGAAACTAGAACGCCACTGACACCCTTCCATTCAATGCTCAGGAAAACCCGGCTTCTTCTCTCATTTGCATTGCCCCATGCATATCATGCATAAACATAGATGTGTCCAGAGTAGGGGTGTGCAAAACCACATATTTATTGTGATATTATATACTTAGTCATGTGATGAATCCTCAGCAGTCATTATTCCAGTCTTCAGTGTCACATGATCCTTCAGAAATAATTATAATTTGCTGCTCAAGAAACATTTTGTATTAATATCAGTCTTGAAAACAGAAGTGATGCTTAAAGGGATAGTTCACCCAAAAATGAAAATTCATTTGAAAACTCACCCTCATGTCGTTCCAAACCCGTAAGACCTTCGTTCATCTTCGAAACACAAATTAAGATATTTTTTGATGAAGTCCCGAGACATCTGTGACATCAGTGGTTCAACCGAAAATGTATGAAGCTATGCGAATACTTTTTGTGCGCAAAGAAAACCAAAAATAACGACTTTCAATAATTCTTCTTCCCCGAGTTACCATCTACAGCCATTATATCGTACTCTATTAAGAGTACCACGACGCATACATGTGTTGCTGCTGTCGTAGAACACGGATGCGCTGCGCCTTGTTTATGAACAGAGGAAAGCACGTGCATGTGTCATGGTACTCTCCATAATAGCGGTAGATGGTAACTTGGGGAAGAGGAATTGTTAAATAAAGTTATTTTTGTTTTTCCACACAAAAAGTATTCTCATAGCTTCATAAAATTCCGGTTGAACCACTGATGTCACATGGACTATTTTAACAGTGTCCTTACTACCTTCCTGGGCCTTGAACGTGGTAGGACCCTTGCAGTCTATGGAGGGTCAGAAGGATTCAGGGATTCAAAGCGTTTATTGTCATATGCCCAGTGAGGAAAACAAGTTTCCCTGAGCAGTGAAATTCTTACTTCGCTGTCCACAATGAATGCCAAGACAGTGCAAAACTATACACACACATACACAAACTATACACACATACATACATACATACAATGTAAGAAACATAATAATAAAAACTATGCTGCAGTAGTAGGAATATAGACTATGAAAAAAATAGAAATATAGACTATGTGTATCTATATATGCGAGTATAGAGTAGAAATATAGAATGTGAAATGGAAATATAGACTGTATATGGTATCTATATATGTGAATGTACAGTATTAACTTATGTGCAAAAAACAATAGTGTTCAGTATTATGTTGTCCTTGAGGGAGGCAACACAAGTCATGTGTGAACAGTGTGTAGAGGATGGCACTGAGAACACACCCTTGTGGGGTGCCAATGTTTGTTATGAAAGTTTTCTTTGTTAAGAAAGCTCTCAGATTTCATCAAAAATATCTTAATTTGTGTTCTGAAGATGAACAAAGGTCTTACGGGTTTGGAACGACATGAGGGTGAGTAATGAATTTTCGTTTTTTGGGTGAACTATCCCTTTAATATTTTTATGGAAACCATTATACTTTTTCAGGATTCTTTGATGAATAGAAGTTTAAAAAGCATTTATTTGATAAAAAATCATTTGTTACATTGTAAAAGTCTTTACCGTCACTTTTCATCAATTTAATGCATCCATGCTGAAGAGAAGGACAACTAATACTGCAGGTATGTGACGGTAGCGTCAACCATCCTGACCCATCCCTAGTATTTCTTTCCAGTCATTTCATATTTGTGTTTATTGCCTCTTCCACGTCTTCGTTTAGAGACGTGCTGGTATGTGCGAGTACCGCCGCTCTCTTTGTAGTTCAAACACTTCTCTCTCATTATGCTTAGAAGGAGGATCTCCTGCAACGCATCCTCACACTCGTAACAGTAAATGAGGAGAAATGTTCTCATCTCAACATAGTAACAGCTCACACCATTTCAGCAGGCTTAGATAAATGATCACACACTCACAACTCAAATCTACTGCCGATGTGGACAACCTGATGACTATACCACACAGAACAGTTGTGATCAATGTAATCTGAAGTTCTTCTCACATTGTCCTTTGAAATGGAGGACAATGTGGAGGACCACTTCCCCTCCTCCTCGTCCACTCTTTAAGCACTTTACTTATCTGTCCCCTCTACAGTCAGTGAGTTTTCCTTGCCCTTTCGTCTTTTTCTCTTTCTGTGTGTGTTTGCCCAACAGTTGAAGATGGTGAATCTCTCCCTCCTCTAATATTTACTGTGTAGGCTCTTGAGGGGGAGAGTTCAAGCTTTCGGGATTTAGCCCAGTCGTTTTACACACTTCCGCTGACGTTTTTTCTCCTTCTCTCATCGCTCGCGGTAAAGGACTGATCTGGGACAGACGGTCTCCCTTGTGCTCTGGCCTACTTCAGCTCTGTCCTTTCTCTCTCACCTC